TCGGCCAGCTAAACCCATTAATCCAAGAAGCAATAATCACCTACAAAGAAAGCAGCAAGATTTGCGAGTTCTTCTATAGTCCCCAGGCGACCACAGGAATTTGTCAATCATTCTTTCTCAAATGTTCCAGTTGGGTCAAGACGGCTAAAGGCACCCTTAGAAATTAAGAAACAATTGGTTGTGTTGGGTTTTCAAATCAACTCTTTTCCTACTTAAGAAAAAAGTGTATATAAAGGCATGCTACCCACAGCTTAAAACCTCAGCGCTTTGTAAGTAAAAAACAATTTCACCAATTCTTCTTAAAAAAAAATAGATCACTGGAAGAATATAACCCTTTTTAATCTTAGTTTCTTCTATGTAAAATGAGGATATCTATCTTAGCTACCTCACAAACTGTTATAAGCATCAAATGAAAAATGTATATAAAGGTACTCTGAAATGTACAAGCGTAGGTGGTAAAGGCAGTATTACCCTGTCTTTTCATTTTAATAAACACAGAAAAGTTGGCTCATAGGAAATATTTAAGAGGAAATTTCTTTTCTTTCACTCCCCAAATAAGTTAGAAACACAGGAAGAAAGCAAGGATGTAGAAATTCATAGATTCTAGCACAGAGAAAAAGCTATAACTAAATTTCCCCAAACACAATTGCTTCTGTCATGATGTGAGCGACAAACCAAAGATGAATTATGGATGTGCACTGATTAATAAAAACAACTGGATTTTTCTATACTATGCCTTGAAGTAGTGACAGTTTCTCAATACAACGCAGCAGCAGAAGCACAGAAAACACTCAGAGACTCCATCGAGAGAACCTCCAGTTCTTCCCCAGGAGGCATTGTCAGGATTGGTTCCAGAACAGACTTCCCTGCCCCAAACACACTCCTGAAAAAAAAAGTGAAGAGAAATAAACAATGCTTACCGCTCCATTTATCCAAGAAGCATAATCACTACAAAGGAAAGCAGCAAGATTTGCGAGTTCTTCTATAGTCCCCAGGCGACCACAGGAAATTTTGTCAATCATTTCTTTCTCAAATGTTCCAGTTGGGTCCATACGGCTAAAGGCACCCTTAGAAATTAAGAAAACAATTGGGTTGTGTTGGGTTTTTCAATCAACTCCTTTCCTACTTAAGAAAAAAATGTGTATAA